TGATGATGAGAAAGCGAAAAAGTAAAGGAAACAAGGAAATAAAAAATGAGATGAAACGAAAAGAAGTAGAAGTTCAAAAAAGGAAATAAAGAAAGGAGATGAAACGAAAAGAAGTAGAAGTTCAAAAACTGACCTTCTTAATTGCCCCCGTCTCAAGAAACAATTTGATCGCACCTTGTTGAGGTTCGGCCGTAGCAGTGATCTGGTGATAACGCTCGAGATGACGAGATAACGATTTCGTGCTCTGAGTTGGATCAGGCGTCATCGCAGCTCCACAGATGCGATTACTACCTGGAGGTTTCGCAGCCTGGCAGACGTACTTAGCAACACCTTGCTGAGTTTTGGTCTTGAAGTATTTCCAGACCCACGACTTCTGGTTTTTGGTGAGTTTCACTGCGTTTGATGTGCTTGGAGTTTTCGAAACAGGAGAATCAGATTGCCCTTCGGAGTCCGAAACGACGATGGTGGAAGTAGGGCGAGGAGAGCTGCGACGGTGTTTTTGCGGCATTGCTGAGACTGTAGATCCTTGATCATCTACGTTCAATTGAATGTACTGTGATGTTGAATTGAATGAGGGGGAAAAATTTTTTCTTTCTTTTCCCCCATTCTCGCCTATGTATGGCTACCGGACCGGGTCGGCCCGGCCTGGAAGGGGGGGTGGCCCCGGTCCAGCTCAGAATCTCCGGGTTGGGTCCGGGTTGGTGCATTAACTCCACCAAACCAGCACTTTAAATTTTGCAGAATGTGATGTATCACCAGAAATTGCTTAAGTGAACGCGCCCTTATTGATGATGAAGATGTTATGAAATTTAATTTGATTTTTTTCAAACCAAAAAAAAAACTTAGGTTCAGGTATTCTTGATCATGATCATGATCATCATGTATTAATTCATAGAAAAAAAGATTGAATGCCTTTATAAGGTTTAACTTTTGATTGTTGTTTTTAATGAGGGTTTAGAATTATCAAAAGTGATTTGATTTGATTTGATTTGATTTCTTGTACAAATATGACTATGATTTTGACCTTTTATGGTTGAGATTGTTTATATTCATCACAAAATATATGAACTTAGTATATTAAGTGGGTTGGATGATTTATCAATGAAAATTCATGATTTCTTTGTGATTGGGGACAAATACTGAGTTAGATTAGATCCACTTGATCATGAACCTTTAAGTTTCAAATATGTATGTTTTTCACAGTGTTGGATGAGTGATGAATTATTTATATTTATGAAGAAGTGATTCACTTTATTGAATGTTACATGTAAATTTAATGGACTCAGGCTAGTGCATTTTATGGATCTCAAAGTCTGTTGCCTACCATACAGTGAGGCAATGGTTACAACTTCTGGATGGTCCACTGTTTGCCATATTGTTTAAGACATCAGCTTTTCAAACTTGGTCTGAGGTGCTGTGCTTCACATGAGATACTTTTGATTTTTTTTGCCAAGTGATAAACCACACCAGACTATTTTCCACTTTGACAGATTAGAGCTTTTTTGTATGGGACATACAGAAAGTCATTCATAATGAAGAAGATGTTGGATTGAATTGACAAGGTTTAGTTCATTTAAAATTAGTGATGTAAACTAAAAAAATCACCAAAGGTTAAGCTCAGTCTTTCAGGTTTTAAGGATCTTAAGATCTCTACAATTGGATATCCATATCCAAAAGTCCAAAAGTTCACCCTGATCTAGATCTTTAGTTTATCATTTTTCTTACCGTTGATTTCTGATGAGTTTTAATTCTACAAGTTTAACTAATGTGATATGTACTAGTAGATCACAAAATGGAATCAATACTCATTTCATGAGTACTAGTACTGTAATGATTACGGATGGTATTGTTTTGTCTTTCAATAAATATTTCTCAATACATATCTTATGGTCAACTTTGGGGCCTTGGGGCTTAAGGAACAAAGGGAATGGATATGACTTTTTTATGTATGATTGTTGCAAGAATGAGGGCAGAGAATGAATTTATACAATCATTGAATGCTTTGATCTACATGTATGTAGAATATCTGGAGTAACTTTGAGTGTTTTATCTGTCAGTTCAGGTGTGCTGACACTTGTGATTTGTTACATAGGATCATGACATTGCCAGCATACAATGAGGAAATGTTTTACCAAGATGGCCCATCAGATGTGCTTTAATGATAAGCTCTTTCATATCTCTTCTTGAACTTGAGATACAAGGCTTGATTGATGATCAGACTTTTTTTATTGGGTTCTGAGTCTGAATTGATATAGTTCAAAGCTGATTAAAAAGTGTGTAAAGACTTATTATGCATCATCCAGTTGCAGGTATTTGAGTTTCAGAAAAAGGTATGGAGGTCAATTGAATTGGAAATGGAGCAGACATAATAGATCTTTATTGTTCTACTTTTATATTTTATTAATCATTCTAGTTTACAGATGCTTTGTTGTACATATATGTGATTGAAATCTTTAGAAGGTTTAAAGTGATAGAGGTTTATCTTTTGATAAGGATTTGGAAAACTTTTATGGTTCTAAATCAAAGTGTTGTATGAATTTTTTATTACTTTGTGTTAAACTTGCCACGATAAATGACACTGAACAAAGTTATCAAGTAAATATGTACAGATGTCATATAGCTCAAATGGTTTGTGGCACTGGAGTCATTGGGTTTAAAGAAAGATTTGAAGTAGAGTGATTTTGGAATAAGTCACGTGATCTTGAATTTGTTACACATCAGAATCCAGAATCAAAGTACAGTTTTGAAAATGACACTTTAAGCGTACGTCATTGCTGATCGATCAAACTCAAGACTCACTCAACACACTCACTCAACACACTCAACACATCGAAAGATTTTTAACCATTCAATCATTTTCTACTTGATCAATTCTTAACATCAACATGTTTCTAACTAGGTATGTGATGAATTGTTTGTCAAGAATAAAAGTGTTCGTTCGGTTACTTACTTTTGGGTCTTGCGTGTTTTCTTTTTGAAAGATCTGAATATGGTACGGTCCAAGATCTCCATCGAATCCAATCCAATCCAATCAAATAAGATAATCTTGGATATTTCATCGACTTACGCGGATTTTGTTTTTTTTTGTTTTGATAATTAGATCGAGGAGTGAATACATTTTCACCAGAAGGAAGATTATTTCAAGTAGAATATGCCATTGAAGCCATCAAACTAGGTTCGACCACAATAGCCGTGACGACCAAGGAAGGTATCATTCTAGGTGTCGAAAGAAGATCACAATCTAAACTATTGGAATCATCTTCGATTGAAAAGATTATGGAAATCGATTCACATGTGGGATGTGCGGTGAGTGGTTTGGTGGCGGATTCGAGAACGATGGTCGAACATGCTAGATTGGTGGGACAGAACCATCGGTTCACGTTTGATGAACCCATCAAGATCGAGTCGGTTACTCAGGCCGTTTGTGATTTGGCTTTGAGGTTTGGTGAGAGTACTGATGATGAAGATGCGATGATGGTATGTTCTTGAGAAAGGTTTTTAAGAGTTTGGATGCGGTTGGATTGATGATTTGGTTGGGTGATATGGGGTTTGTAGTCTAGACCGTTTGGAGTGGCGCTTTTGATTGCTGGTTGTGATGAGAATGGACCACAGTTGTAGGTTCACTTTTGATGGATTGATTTACAAAATGGATGATCCTTTCGGTTTATTAACTGATTTGATCGTTTTGTTTGGTTTCGTTGCAGGTTTCATGCTGATCCATCAGGTACTTTTATGAGATACGATGCTAAAGCTATTGGAAGTGGATCTGAAGGAGCTCAAACTGAATTACAAGAACGTTGGCATAAGGTTTGTGGGATCTCATTCGAATTGAAAAAAGACCCATCAGATTATATCTTTTGTTTTGACTTGCTTTTTTGACTGATTTGATCTGGTGCGGATTTCATGGTGATGGTTGGTTTAGTCAATGAGTTTACTTGAAGCTCAGTTATTGACACTTGGAACATTAAGACATGTGATGGAAGAAAAATTAAATGAACATAACATTCAATTAGCTCAGGTAAGAAATCGAAAAGTCTAGCCCAACAACCCAAAAAACACCCGATTTGAATGAAGATTAAACTTTTTTTCTTTTTTTTGGTGGTCGGTGGGGGTGGTTTTAGGTGACACCAAAAGGTGGATTTCAAATCTTAACTGATGAAGAATTGAAAGCTGTGATTTCACAAATGCCAGTTGAAAGTAATACTGGAATTGGATCTACACCTACTGCTTAAGGAAAATTGAATTGATTGTCAAGTTGATTGATTAACAAGAACCACTGAAAAAAAAAACATAATGTAATTATTTTTTTCACCATATAGTTGTTATTCAAAGAAGAGAAAAGAAGTTTTTTTTTGAGAATATCAATGGTTTTGGGTAGTTGGATGAGGTAAAAACACTAGAGTCTTGGTTGAATTGTTTGTGAATTGTTTTTTAGGGATTTCTTTTTTTTAAAGAATTGGATTGAATTTGTTGAATTCATGGTGAAAGTAGGTAGATAAGTTTTTTGGTTTTACAAAATTGATCAGGTAGGAGTGAAATTGATGAGAAAACAAAAACAAGTCAAGATTGATTGTTGTGAGATTAATCGTAAACTGTGATATGGGATTAGATTCAAAGTTAGTGAGAGGTTAAGTTGATTGAGGGTTTGAATTTGATTGGATTTGAAAGGTTACTCAACTGTGTATTAGACCATAGAATACTGGGATGAAAAGTTGAGAATGAAAATTAGTGGATGGAATCGATTAGAAGGAAGATTAGATTTTCAAGACTTACATGTCCACCCTGTAAGAAACCAAAGATTCAACAAGATCAGTTTCTTATCAAACATTCTTTTTGAGAATCAATCAAAAGCAAGAGATGATGACTTACAAAGGATAAAAGTAAATAAGTTATCAATTAAAGAACTTGTCCAAAGAGTATAAGATGATTTAAAGTAAGTTAATGATTGGTTTGAAGATGTAGAAGATTTTGATTTGATGAAAGTTGAAAACCAAATTAAAGAAGAAACTATGAAAGAAGTGAGTAGGTAGAAGAGAAAACCAAGGTGATTTGTTAAACCTAAGATACCACATAATGAACCTGAGATTGTTGAAGTCACTTTTATCATACAAAAGAAAATCAAATTAGGGATTAGATGGTTTCTTTGGTTGGGATATGGGATATTGGAAAGGGTTTCTTACTTGATTTGATGAATTCGATTGATTTTTGATTTGAGATTAGCTGATTGATTGAAATTGATTAGAATCATGAGTTTGACATTGGGATTGGGTTTTGGTGAGATTGACTTACTATTTCAGGACAGATTGAGTTTAGATGGTCTGGGTTATATGATATGCTAGGATTCACTCCTGTTAGAGATGCCATCTTGAGTCACAGTCAGAGTCAGAGTGGTTTGAAGTGGTTGAAGTTGATCGAAGAGTGAACTTGGATCGAGTGAGTAGTAGGATCGGGTCGGACTCTAGACATTACCTCAACCGTCACGGGGTCTTGGATCCAAAGACGTGACCAATTCTCATTCAACCATTCAACCATTCACCACCATCAAGCATTATCAACCCAAAATGAATCCAGCAAACTTTTATCAATTAAACAATCAAACACCATCTCAATTTGATTCAAACAACAACAACAACAACAAACAAACAAGTTTACCTTCAAATCGATCAACTTGGTCAATCTTACCTGAATCAAATCAAGCCTTAAAACCATTTCATTCTTTATCTATCAAACCATTTCAACAAGCTTTATTTACGACTTATCCTTCTAGATTAAGATTAGGTACTACTTCTTTAGTACAACCTATTATTACTAATACTTATATTCAACAAAGAACCGATCGAGCTCATTCACCTCTTGATCATCATCATCATCATACTAATAATCTTGGTACATCTCATTCTAGTCAGTTTCATTTGGTTCCTGGATCGGTTTCTGATCTGGGAAGAAGAACTAGAAAAGTAGTCAATTATTCAGAACATGATTCAAAGTTACCTGAATTCGAATTAGAAACAAGTTTAGATGAACGAAAACCATTGACAGCTAGACAGAAAGCATGGAATGTGAATCAGAACACATCATCATCATCATTGGCTATTAAAAATTCAAGTTCTCATCAAAATTTTAATAATATCACTACTAATACTACTAATACTGTGAATGAGATTGATGAAAAGAGAAAAGATTAGAAGCTTTGAAGAAACGAAAGTATGGTGATGGTAAGATTTATTTGGATCTCGAACCACCGGCTAAATTGATTAAAGTTCAAAAACGAATTCGAAAACCGATTGGGATTATGAATTTGTTGAGTTTAGATGAAAAGAATGAAGCTCCCTTAGAAGAAGATGATCAAGACTTGAAAGAAAAAGTTGATGGAGAAGAAGGGGATGGGGATGGGGATGGGGAAGATAGATTGGTTCCTATTAGGATCGAATTTGATACGGAGGAAATTAGGGTTAGAGATGTGTTTACTTGGAATTTATCTGGTTTGTTTATACATTTTCTCCTAAATCTATACACTTGAAATGAACTTGATGATGGATTTTTTTTTTGATTGAAATTTGAAATTTGTAGAAAAACGAATTTCACCTGAAACCTTTGCTATTGAATTTTGTCATGATCTTGATATTTCACCTGTACAATATGTACCTAAGATTATAGAACAAATCAATTTCCAACTTAAAGAGTTTTCAACGATTTCGAATCTTAAATTGTTACCTAATCAAACCGAACTTGATCAAATGAAGCTTGAAGAACTTGAAGGCATCGAACCTGATCTTAGAGTGATTATTAATGTAAGCTTTTTCATGAATTGATTCTTGGATTGATGTTGAGAAAACTGAGGATTGATTTTTTTTGGGGGGGTGGTTTAGTTGGATGTTCAAATTCAAACTTTACATCTTGTTGATAAGATCGAATGGGATTTAGCATCCAACTTAACACCTGAATTGTTTACCAAACAATATATCTCAGAATTAAGTTTACCTACTTCTAGTTTACCGATCATTTCACATTGTATACATGAAGAGATTTTCAAGTATAAAAAAGAATGTGTTTCGATTGGATTGATTTCGAAGAACTATCTACATTCTAGAAAACATCAAGCTCATCAGAATCAAAGGTTTGAATCATCTGATCCACTTTTGAGAGAAAGGTTTAGTCTTCAAAAAGGGTGTAGGAGATTAGAAGGCGTTTGGAGGGATTGGAATGAGTGTAATTTGTTTGGACCTAAGCTCGAGTATTTGAATGGTGAAGATTTAGAATGGATCGAAATTGAAAAAGAAAGATTGATTAGGTTAGTCTTGGGATTTTGGGTTTTGGTTTATAAGATTTGTTGGATCATTTAACAGGACTAATTGGTTTTTTTGTGTGGTTTTGTTTTTTGTAGGAGGGCTAGAAGAGAGACTGCTAGAGTTGGACGTAGAAGATGAAAAGGAACAAAATGGTTGAAAAGGGGAAAAAGGGAAAAGAGGGCAAGGATTTCAAGATTGAGGTTTTTGGTTTTTGGTTTCATGTTTTTTGTATGATATTTTTTTGTTTGGTTTGGATTAATCAATTTGAAGTCATAATTGATTTAAAGAGTAAATAGATTCATGATTTAATAAATAGGAATTTATGAATTTGTGAATTATCTTGTGTGTCTGTGTGTTTTTTGATTTGATTGTAGATATGAAAGATTTTTTTAAAAGATCAAGTCAATTGTTTTATACTGAATGTTACAATATGATTGGAATTGGAAAAAATTCATGAAAGGATAGTATGGGTGTGTTTTTGTTTTTTGTTGGAAAGAGGGCTTATGAATGAAAAGTCATTTAAAGTTAAAGTAAATCGATGTGAAAAGTTAATAAGATTGTATAACTAGGAATTTCAAGATTAGTAAGAAATAGAATGTGGGTTTTTAAAAAAAATCAAAGGGGTTTGGAAAGTTTGATTGGAAGAAGTTGAAGGTGTTTGTAAGTTGTATAAACAAGATATGTTTGAAGTTGTTAGAGTGAGCTAAAAGAACATTGGATGGAAGATTTGGTTTGTGGGGTTAAGAAGAATTTGGATTGTTTAGTCAAAGTTAAACTTAACAATTCATGTTTGTTAAAATTGGTTGATGTAAATACTTTTCCTTTATATATTCAGAATCAAAGGATTCAATTTGATCATCATTATCTCTTGATGTTTTGTTGGATATGGAGATGGGATTATGTGCCTACCATGAATTGGGTGACTGTTTATGATTGAATTTGAGTGATATATCAGATATATGAGATTATTGGTAAGTTTGATTGGTATTGAGTTAAGTGTGGATGTTTCTCTTTCCACAATTGATTTCTCAAGGAGTAAGTAGAATTTTCATATGATCCAATGAGTAAAATGTTGGATAAAGTTCATCATCTTTAGAATTCAAGAATCAAATGAAAGTATGGATTGATGGATAGTGTGTGAATTGTTTGAAACACGCTCTTGTAGCTCAAATTCAGATCTGATAAATGCGCGTTATGAGTGATGTTGATTTTGGCAATTTATGAAAAGATTAAATGGGTGGTGATCAGAGCAAAGATATGTTATAATGGAACCAACATCATTTTTTATCAATTGTAATGTATTCAGATCTCATGTAGAGTACAACAAGAAGAAATTGTATTTGTATCACGAGACACAAGGGAAAGATAAAATGCTTGAGATCTGATTGAGACTGGATTTGTACACCACGTCTGTCTTCTTCAAGCACGTCGACGTGCACACACAGAGAATTTCGATACGAGTTTGCAAGAGTTTTACTCACTTTTTGACAGACAGGATGATTTGTGCCGTTGAGCACCCCTTTGTTGGCCAAGAATCGGTCGAATAAGAGCATCTACCCGGCTGTGTCTCAAACAAGAAAGGGGGTTAGCAATCCCTTGTCACGTCTTGTATCCCTTCAACCGCTGAGCTTTTCCCTCTTGCTGAAACAACGCGGGTGCTGCAATCCACTCACTCTTGGCGAACCGAATCAAGCCGTGGTCTTTGTACTAGTTTTGAAAGTACCATATCACGCAAAGAGCCATATGAAACATCTGAATCCATCATAAGCGGATCAAATCATCATTTTCAAACGCTGTCAGTACCTTGACACTGCAAATATAATGTATTTTTCCCAGGTGAAAAATGATTACATTTATTTCACAAAATGATTAAAAATGCATTAATTCTGCATTAATTCTGCATTTTTCTGCATTAATTCTGCATTATTAATCATTTTGTGCATTAATGTCAATCATTTTTCACCTTGGAAAAATACATTATTTTTGCAGTGTGAACTATCTCGCCCTTCGAGCTCAATCAATATCGCACCTTAAGCTTTTCAGAATGCGTTTGTCAATCTGTTATTCGCATCTGAGTATTTGGGAAAGCACGGCTTCTGATTCTTTCTCTGTAGCAGCTCGCACCTCTCACCACTGGAAAAAGGGTGTCGCTGTCACTTCGCTGAAAGCTGTGAATGCTTCGGTAAGTGACACGCTTCCGCAGTCAGGTGAGGGAATCTGCCAATCATTGGCCAAGTTCACAAGATTTTTACTCGGATACGACAAATTAACGAAGTCTTATCCACCGGCACCTACCGATGACGAGCGCTGCCAACTTCGACCTCTGAGTCAACATGAAATAATGTCGGATCACAAGATTTTCGGGACAAACTCCGTCTCTGCTCATGTTTCATCAGACGACGAAGATATTATTCCGTTCAAGTTGCTCTTCCTTTCCGACTTGAAGAGCTATGGCATTAGTAGAATGACGCTGGATTGGGAAAAAAACGACAAGGATATTTGGAATCGCACCTTAGCAGTTTTGATTGTTAAACATTGGCGATATGCCAAGTCAGAAGGTGCATTCAGCGGAGAGTCTGTAACTCCATCTCACAACACGGAAAAGATATGTATGGGTGTAGTTCTTCGATGGATTCGTGGCCGCGCAAACGATGTTCGCCAAAATCGAGGATCTCGAGAAAAGGTTCTCCGGAAAGAAACACTTCGTAAGAAACAGGTGGTGAGTCAAAGACGTCTCTCACTATCTTGTGTATGTTGAGGATCCCATGCTGATTGTTGTTAAATCGTGAAGCTTTTTAAATACCGCACCGATTCGCTGACTCGTCTTATGAAAGCCAAGAAACTTGAGCAGAAAGCGTCCGAAATCATGCCTCATCACGACTGTTGCTCTGACACGGAGTGGGAGCCAGAAGACACTCAATATCCCTCAGTTGGACTTATCTGGCGCAGTCAACAATATGCGTCAATACTGCAACAGATCGACGGCCTTTCCTACAAGTACTGTGCTTCTAGTCGCGGGGTAGTCAATGCTCACAAAAGGTTTGATCAATGTCGAACCAAAGCCACCCATACTAATCCACATGCTGCTGTATGTATAGGCCTCCTCGAAAACTGTTATGACCCAGTTTTTCTGTCTAACTTGATGCCTGAAGAAAAGGCTGCTCTTCATATGAAACCTGTTACAAGTCTCTTAAACATACTACCTCCTCTCATTGAAGATTCTGTTGTTTAGCTTTTCCTTTGTTTGTAGCTCCATCAAAATACCGCACAAGTTGTATTTTCTCATGGTTCAAAGAAAGATAAATAGATAAGAAAACATTTGTATATATCAAGTCTCTGAAATCTTCAAAAAGTTACACAAGCGTACACAGTGTTTCTCCAGTCAATATATCTATCGGGTAATAAGTGAAATCATACTTAACCAGGGGCTATTGTGCTTATTCAGTCTTGAGGTGTGTTGAGAATCAATAGAAGGAAATAGTATGAGAAAGACCTGCTGGGTGTAGGGTCGGGTGCGTGTGTCACAAAAATAAAAAGGTACATATGTGGTATAAGTATGAAAAGGAATGATTTATTTTATATTTTCTTCGCTTGATGACATATCAGAGATGGCCTAAAATCACATAAGGGTCTTAGCTTTGATAAATGAGGGCACAGATTGTGGTGGAGCAGCTTACCATGCTCCGGAGACTCACTAGCGAGACAGTTGGTTTGTCTATTCCAAAAGTTCCTGAGGGATTATGAAGGGCAGCGCAGTGTCCAAATAAATCGTCCATACATACACATTTGAGGTAGCATTCGTTATAGACTACTTTAGCATTCAGATGCGAGAGGTATGAATAAGGACTTTGAATGCTGTCGATGGCATCTAACTCGCGGAAAACATGTATGAGAAAAAAAGGTGTCGTATGGCTGTGAGGTCGTATGATGTGATGTATCACACCCGTGCGTGTTTTACCCTGATCTATAAAATCCACGTAGCTATTTCCGCGATGTTCATTGAATGTACTGAAAGACTTTCCGGCATGTCGCCAGACTGATGTTTCCTCAAGCTTAATTGACACCTCACAGCCGATCTCTACTAAGATGGGTTGGATTGAAAGGCTGATGTCTAAGGAAGGTGAGAACGCTTTCCATTTCGGTGCGGGTTTTTTCAATATTATGTCGGCACCGATTTCCTCTGCGTATGTCGAAGGTGCATCTTTCAGAAAGTTGAGAAAATAAGAGCGCTGAGTGTGCTTATTGATCATGGTCTGTCCTACAACAGCTGGCAGCGGGCAAATGGGAGTTTGAGAATAAGCATATCTTATCTGAGGAGAGAAGCGCGAGTGCAAAAGACTTACAACGATTACCACTTTCAGAAGATTTGACAAGGTTGCCGATGATACGCTCCCCAGTCCAAGCGGCGGTGTATGAAGGCGGTCCGAGAAGAAGGCATTGAGCTGGGAGGTGCTGGGCAAAATGTAAGTTTGATTTCAACTGGATTGCAGGCCAAACTTCTTGAAGGTGAGTGCGATATTGTACAAGCAGAATGGGAAGGGTTTTAAGGTCGTCGGGGGTCATTGTGCGTGAAACCGATATATTGACGATCTGCGTGGCGAGGGTGATGGCTGTATGGATTTTTGCAGAATCTGAATTCGGTTCAGCTTTGTGGTGATAAGGCACCAATGCAAGAACAATGTAGACTGTGTATAAAACGAGCCATTCGGAGGCTTTGGGAGTGCCAGAAAATGGCATACCAATCTTGGAAGGCACACGTGTGAGCCAAGAGGGAACCAATGTATCTGCTAAGCACTTGTGAACTAACTCGAGCTCATGAGGGGTTAGAGTGGGACCGGGGGGGGGCTTGAAAGTTGAGTCAGATTGGGCACTTTTAACACTGCCGTTTTGGGTTGGCTCGTAAGAACTGTCAGTGGCTGTCTTAAGTTTTGCTGCACGCGTATACTGTGTTCGGCTAGTCAAAGATCCAGATAGACCACTCTCAGTAGCAGGAGGAGAGTGCGGATCACTCATCTCGACATCAGGAGCGGGCGGGGGTGGTGTTGGTGACGGAGGGTAATCGCCGTTGTGAATCTGGGTCTCCTGCGTCTTCTTGAGAGCGTTCCCAGCCACAGAAATCTGAAGGTAAGTGGTGGATAGATCGGCTAGAAGGCCAAGAATCAAACAATGCATTATGTCGACAGTGGCGAATTCGAGTGCCTGCCAATACGGAAGCTCATAAAACACTGAGTAGTGTGATCCATTCATTTTCAAGAGTTTTTCCTTTTCCTTTGGGTTGGGGGCGTCCACCCAAAGCTGTACCTCCTTTCGGTGTGCGGCGTTGGTCCGAGGTTGGAATATTTTGACGTCAGGTTCGTTGATGTCATCCAGAGTGATATAGCATTTGGAACAGAAATTGGTTGAACGGTGTGACGAAAATCCAGAAACTTTCTTCATGGCCGGTACATCCGCGATAAGAGGCCATAAAGCAACACGCACAACTCTTCCGCTGGGATGAAGTGCCGTCTTAGTAAATCGGATACCCTTCCAGAGGTCAAGAAGTTCGCGAATGAGGGGTGACAATATGTGATCCATGTGCTCATGATTAGGCTCGCGACGGTTGGGAGTTATACCCCACAGGAACGTGTTCTCAGCTCGGTATCGTAAGTGAGGTGGGAGATTGAGGCAAATGAGAAGAATGATGCCAGCGTGGTGTTGTTGACCACGTTTGGATCCATAGGGATCAAACCAGTCGATATAAAATCCAAAGACTAAGTTGCCTGAAGTCCGCGTGTAGACCTGGCCTTCGAATTTGAAAGTTCTCCAAAGTTTTCCATCCCAGATATCTTTCAACGTGCCCTTGGGGGGCGGGGTGCGATGCAGGGAGGCGTCGAGGTGAGTTTCGAAGGCTAGAGAGTGTAGCATCTTAGCTAACCATTCGGTGAATTTCTGATGATAAAAGACTTGGATTGGTCGGTGTTTTTTGGATTCTGCGCTGGCAAGGGGTTTGTATAATGGTGCTTTACACGTGAATCGAGGTTTGGTAAGCTTGGTAGCGGAGAATCGAAGATGATCACATTTCGTCTTAGTGGGTGAATTTTCAGGAGGGCCGTGGAGGGAGTGACAAACTTCACAAGATAGAAGCTTTTGTATGGTGGGGTGGATATGAAAACATTTAAGCAGTTTATCAACAGTAAGTGGAATTTCTTCCCAAATCTTTGAAGTAGAGGTGCTCGTGGATGTGAGGCTGGTTTTCAGTTTGTGCCGCTCCAACTTGAGTGAAACACAACAAGCTTGAACGGCAGTATTCTTCAAGATATAATCATTTAAAACGTGAACCATAGATTGGACACAAGAGATGTCTTGGAGAAGAGTTCGAGGCGTGTAAAAAGGCTGGGTGTCGAATTCGAGGGCATAGGTAACACCACCGCTCACTCGTGCCTGCTTGTGAGGCCGCTGATGATTCGCCGAAGAGGATATGGAGGTTGCATTAGCAGCGTCAGATGGTGATCGACGACGTTTGTTGTTTACAGTATTGGTGGGGAGGTTAGAGTTGGGTCTCGTGAGGTGAGACAGCTCATGGCCAGAGGCACAAGGCTCAACAGAACCCAGAGCAGGCTGAGCAGCTTGAGAAACATCGTGGGTCGATGTAGTGGAAGCTTGGTGATCGTCGATTGCCTTTGCATGGCGCGGGTAGTTAGTTCGGTGGAAAAGGCGGCCGTCATGAGTTTCGCCGTGTTTTTCGAATTGTCGTGCTGAGCATCCGAAAGGAATGCATGTGCAAACGACGTGATCGCGACCGAAAGACATCATCTAGCACAATCCAGTGAGCACTAGGATAAACGTGGCCGATCTCAATGGAGAGTGCTGAAGTAGAGTGTAGAAACGAGCAAAGAGATGGGTGGAGGGGGTTGAATGCGAAGGAAAGCAATGAAACAAGAAGATTTGGGCAAAAAGACAAGTGTATTCAAAAATACATCTGTCGATAGGACTATTTACTCAGCGGGCTACATATCATTCAACGTGGAAGGAATTGCATACCCTCGATTGAAGTTAAATTGCCAGGGCACCTGTTTAAGGTTCTTTATAAAACCCCTCTCTCCATGTACTCACTCTGATAAGGCACCTGCAGATGAATGCTTGATACAAATGGAAACCGCGAAAGACTATTCTGATAATCCATCACATTATAAACACTATATACACACTACCACACAAAAAGATAAAAAAAATCTATATACACTATATACACCCTCTCAGAAGGGAAAGATGAGAGCGCTCCGACCTGTACCCGTTAATCTCAATCCTGATACAACACAAACCCTTTTTCCCGACTATTCTTGCTTCAATGCTGCATTGAAACTCCAGCAGAGGCCCCACCAGTAGAGTTAACACCACTATCATCATTGAGACTAGCACGTGACCTGAAAGTCCTCATCACATCACTAATTGCCTCTCGTATATCACATGAGTTGTTCCCATCTAAGTTCAATTCGGACAGCACCAAGCCTTCTTGAGAATTCAACCACGTCGGATCACACAATGATGCCTGAAAGCCTTTAGGAGGGAAACAATCAGGTTCAGCATCAGGCGCATATGCACCCCGGTCGACCGTTTGTTTGCATGCTCTTCGGACCTTTGGAAGAGTCTCTCTCTTCCAATAAGCTTGGTCGATGTGGCCTATGAAAGTGTCTAGCTCGCTCCTCCTCCATTCAAGGCGTAAGCGTTGGCGAGTTGCAAAAGTGTTGGCCGATACGAATTCTTCATCTGAGTGTACTTCGGGATGCGATATCATCGCATACTCGCTTGAATCCTTTCCAAAGAGCCTCTCTACCACCTGCAGACGAGCTTCATAGATCTACACACCCCACGAGCGTTTGCATCAGCATAGAAGTCTCTAGTGTTTCAAAAACCCAGCGAAAAGCACTAACCTTTTCCTTATTACGTTTTTTGATGGTCCTTTTTTGTACCTTGGCCACGTGCTCTTTCATTTGTTCTCTTCCCATCGGTGTTTTCATTAAATCAACATGTTTCACTTCTTCTCGGACTTTTGAGCCCTTATTACTGAACCAGCGTCGGAGGACTTCTTCTCGATTTGCTGCGGTGTTGTCTGAACTGATAATACCAAACTCCTTTGCTCCATTTGCATCGTACGCCTTCGACCAACTGGCCAGTATTATCGAAGAAGTTCCCGAGTTCCACGGCGAGTCCCAAGAACCGTCCCAATCAAAGGTACATCGTGGAAAACCAGCCATTGCTAAGGCGGCCTCGCACTGTGTACCAAAATGATGTGCATACCGAGTGCGACCCCCACAAGCAATCCGCGACGTGAAAGTGACTGGCCTCATAGGCTTCTTTAAATTTGCCTCTTCGGCGCTGTCGTGCTCGACCATCTGTCTTTGTTTTCGATTCGGCTTGAACCCTTCAGGTTTCTTGCGAAGGTACTTGTCCATTGCTTTATCCTGAGCGTCTCGGATAAAGTTTTCTCTTCGCTGTTTACGACTGAGCCAAGCTTGTTGTTCCTCCTCGGTTGGTGAGCTCGGGAATTTTTGGCAGGCATCGGGGTCCAACACGGACATCAATCCACGACGAGGAATTCCCATCACCATCCTGGTGAACTCGTAGATAGCCCTGGCTATAGGAGTCGCAGGTTTGGGAATTGGATGTGAATCAGCCACCTTGCCAATATCTTTATCGCGGTGCCTAACTTCAGTCAATTTTTTTCGATTTGCACGCCTCTTCCTTTTACGTTCCATAAGGTCTTCGTGTGTGAGCTCGCCTTCATCTTTGGCCAAAACCCAACAATGAGTCAGTCATCTATTCCACTCTTTAAAGCGTTTATGAAGATCAAAACCCTTTGGTAACGTACCTGAAGAGTCTTCGGCACTTGACTCCGTTTCTTTTTGGCCATTGCGATCATCTGATAGTGAAAGCACAATTCAAAAGTAAGTGAAATAGCCAAAGAATATAAGTAAGAGTTGAACAAGAACTTACCTTCTTCGTCAGCTTGAGCGTCCAAGCGTCGCTTTTTCCCAGAAGCGCCAGGTGTGGAAGTACTCATCTGAGTTGAAGTCGGTGCGGCACTCATCCTCCCAGAAGATAAAAAATACTAGCTTCAGCGATGAATATACACAAAGTTGAACGAATGAGTCTTCAATGGACAGAGAAAAAATTAATAGACAGAGTAAAAATAAATAGACAGAGTAAAATCCACAAAAAGTGAGAGAAAAACAGTGAAGAATTTTCTTCAAGAGTAGGAAAAGATCACAAGTTGATTACGACGTCTGATCTCCTAGCACAAAGGATAACACAGCGCAGCTTTGACTGATCCACACCCCAAGTACGGTTGACGGGTATGTCTCATCTGCTTGTGCTTGCCTTTGAGACCGTCTTGGCCTTTCACCCATGCTGGGAATTTGACCGTGGTTTTATCAACTGACCACACCACCATTTGGTGTAGATATCATTCTATCACGACTCATACTCGTCATGAAATATCGCGGGATGATTCATTCATGAGCTCTGTGAATCTTGCATAGATTTGATTCAAGTCCCTTGCGGACAATATTAAACACACAGGTTCTAAAAGGGCAGCATTATGGAACCACAAAATATGTTTTTTTGTAATAATTTTACCATCCTTTGCACTTGAGGGTTTTTATACTCTTTGAGTAGAATGTCTGAGAGACCCCCCTTAAGCCAAATTAACTCATTTTGGTCAAAGCACTAGCTCCAGTGAAGAAACATACACGCGAAAGCAAGACCATAAAAACACCATCTGCATTTATAATCACCTTTTTTCGAGAAACAGTAACAACATAGAATGACCATTGATTTGATTACTAATACATAGAGGAACAAAAATAGACAAGAGAGGAATACATGTATTTTAACCTCCATCACGTTTAAAAGATACCCATGACTATAATTCAGGATGATACCCTCGTTTGTGGCATTACCTATGATTGAGGGAGTAAGAATCAGATATTGAAATCAATGACTGATTCCAATAAGATAGCACTGAATAATATCACATACCAAAACTCTCACATTCAAGAATCCTGGTTAGTTGCGCTTGAAGTCGATTGCTTTGGCGCTGATTCCAATTCTTTCTCGTAAAATCTAAGTTTTTCATTTATCTTTCCAATGTCAACCCTTGCCTCTTCCAATTCCGCCAAGCGCGCCGGCATCAAGTTGAGAACTTCACCCTGGAAACCCGATAGAACCGCATTGGCATTCTTGAATTCATCTTGTAACTTCGAGATTTGCGATTGGAGGGAACGTTCGAGTTGTTTAAGTTCCGTATCGGGGCGAGAGATCACTAGAGCACCTTCATTATCGCTTTCTTCGAGTTCATCGGTAGAAAGATCATCGTCACTTGTGTAATATTCATCTTGAGCTAAATCATGATTTGGATTAAAGAAGTCGAGCTCATGAGCGGCGAAAATGCGTTCCATTCGATTGATGGATGGCAGTACGTTGGGCTTCATTTTAAGGTCCCAAAGTTCACTCGGTGGGAGAGATTCCTTGAGCTCTTTGCTATACATGTCGGCTGGAAGGTGTCGAGGGATGAATCCATAGTCCATTGAGGAGCTTGCGACATATCGACGAGGAGTACGACCAGATCCAGGAAAGTGATGGTGGGAGTTCGCACGAGATTGTAAATGTTTTTCGATAACTTCCATCAAGCGAAGTGTTTCTTCTGACCACCATCGAGGTATGATCACGTGCACCTCTTCGACTACACGGTTACCGACCGAGACTCTGACATTGGTTCTATCGCCCATCACCCAGAAGTTTCTGGGCTGGAAGATCGAAACTATCCCTTCAGGAGCACCCGACTTGATCAAATAGTCCGAGTAATCTTTCCATGCCTAGGTTGAGATGAAAGTCAGCAAAATGCTTGATGTAGTTATTGAAGCTTTTGATACCACATACGTTTTGTTTTTCTTCTATCTTGAAATGATAATTGATCACATCTTGGTTGTTGCATTGAGTATGATACATCGAACGGAGGTGCCTGAAGTGGGCCGACAACACAGGCAAGACGTATGCGCGGCTGAGGACATGTGGGTTGATAGTGAATCTATAATACTCGGATTGGATCGCACAGTAGAAAGAGATCCAGAATAGTTCGCAAAGTGAGGCGTTGACACGGTCTTCTATGTTGGCATCCCAGTCGAAAGAAAAGCGTCGAAGACCCCATCTCTTCAAGTCGTCTTCAGTCTCGACGAAGCCTATGTCGTTCATATGAACACCCGTTTTGAAGAAGTCCGTAACATCGATCAAAGCCACAGACGTTCCATGAGGAAGTGGGTCTCCGGCTGGAAAGCGCTCTATAAAACCACGCAGCTCGGCTTCCGAAAGAGAAGGTGGGATGGCTGAAGCGTTTGTTTGGCAACACATCAAGACGCGAGCATGCCTGCGGACAAGAGACTAAGAGAAGGATTTGGGAATTATGATAAGTATATTAATTAAGGAAAAAAATAGGGGAAGTGACACACTTGGATAACGAGCATCTCTTTTTTTGAGAGAATACCAACGACATCAGTGTCATGAATGATACGAAGCGATCTAGCAGAACTCAATGAATCGATCGGCGGGTCGCTGTAGAGGTTGGATTGATTGGAAGACATCACGACAAGATCATACAAAGATGAAGATGTTAGCAGGAAGGACTAGTTGGGAGGTCTCTTAGTACTCTGGGAATGTTAGTGATATATATGAACTCACCTCAACCATCGACGGTTTACAGATCCGACCTGCTACAAGAAATCTGTGGGTTGAGGGTATTGGGTTTTTGGTGCAACATCGTTTGAGTGAGACAAGTTGATTAGTTAAATTGCGAACAATAAAGAATATTACAAAGAAGGTATTACCAGATTTCCCGTGGACAGTGTGGTAGACTGATTCGGCCTGTTTGTGATGAAAGACCAGGAAGATGTATATTTATGAACTCTACCTCACCTGTTAATTTAATCAGACTCTCTTGTGACTCTTGTGTCTGTGGCTTGATCTTCATCCGAATAACTTGTTGATCAAAAGGGTTTTCTGGCCGAATTCGATCACCTTGAAGAGAAACCACCCAATCAGCGACTGGTGTTAGAGAAGAATGTCTCATTTCCCCACTTGACGGACTAGGTACCGGAATCAGACATCTGAGCAGACCACAAAGGAAACGAAAGACTGACCTCTCGCCACGTTGTCCACACGATTGAGTGTCTCGGTTAATCCTGTTTACATGGATTTCAAAATTTTAGCTAACGATCAAGACATCAGACATCCAAGCAGACAACAAAGGAAAAGAAAGACTGACCTTCCGCCACGCTGTCCACGCGCTTGAGTATCTTGGTTGATCTTGTTAACTTGGATTCCAAATAATTAGTTAATGAAGGAGATGTAAGAGATAGACTATCGTCATGTTTGGTTAAAACATACATGGTAGTGACTGAGAGAGGTTTTGGTTGTCGAAGAGGGAGAACGTTGAATGACAACTACGAGAAGCAATATATGTAGAGTGGTGGTTGAGTGGGTCACAGGGAAAGTCGGACTGCCGTGCATGTATGACTGAATGCAGTGTTTGTCTCATAAAATTTGGGGCCACACCCTATCAAGTTTCATCACTTGAATCGAGTCAAATGCACACTACAAGCTGTTGAAGCTTAACTACTGTACACATTGATTACCCACTGTGAGCGTGTCTGTCGAAGAGATGGGAGTTTGAAAGAGCTCCGGCCAAAGATGATCATTATGCACTAGCATGTGATCCATCAAAGTTCAGCAACAATGGCTGGCTGAGTTTCAAAAACAAAGATCGATGATCTTTGTCTAGTGACCCAACCGCCTCAAAACATGGACAAAGGTATGAATCTCAATACCTATCCGAGAACTCTGGCATGTCTCTGTCAGAACCATCTCGTGTGTGCACGTCGGCGTGCTTGAAGAAGACAGACGTGGTGGTAGTGATTCTGATATCGGCTCACAAGGGAGTGATGAGCATCAGAAAATTGCACCAGAACCATTGCTTGTTTCAATAGAAACCATATCGTGATAAAGATCAAAGGAACTATAGTTTTATAACTTTGTTTTTTCTTTGATGAAGCTACATTGTACATCTTATGCAGCTTAATGTATGAGCACATCACCTTTAGCATCCAAGCTTTTCGTTACACGGGTCGTTTTGCCATGAAAAACCAGGACTGATTTTCAGATCATTGAACAAATCCGTGTTAAAAGTCAGATGGCTGAGGATCTCATTATAAAGTGATACTAATGATCTTTACTCACCTTCTCTTCATCATCACTTGGTCCAATTCGATCGATCTTCGTTGAGGCATTTGACGCAAGACACTAAAGTGATTTGATTATGGTCCCAGGTTAGGATGTAATCTGATTAGAAACCTATGTGATCTCCAAACATCTTAGAGGGATATGATGATTGGAATCTTCTTACTCTTGGTCGCTTGAGGTAGGCGCAGCATAAACGGTGGCTAGATAAACAAATAAACGAAGGAATCAATCAGAAAATGAATCAAGAGGGAATGAAGAGGGAATGAAATTCTATTTAAATTTGTACCTGATAATAAAGCCATACAAATCACTTTGACAAAAAGCATGATATGTGATGAGATAAGTAGGATTTTTGGTTATGGATTTTAAAAATCAGTGGTTTCTTCTGGCAAGGATGGGGCAAAGGCCTGGTCTCTAAGCAAGCAAGCAATTCGTAGGGCCACCTTTTTATAACTTTTTGGAGGCGGTGCATGCATGATCGAATTGCCACCTCGCCACGAAGAGTTTTTATGAGATATCTATCCACATAGTCCCATTCAACGAACTTGTCTTCACACGGCTCACACAGCCTCTGGTAAAGTGATCTCGTATAGGCTCCGTAGGATAAGGGGGCCAACTTGCACCTGCCAACTTGACGAAGTCCTTAAAAGTCCCTGTCTTTGTTTCCGGTTTTTTATATGACTATATATAGTTCCTAATGAGACACTAGGGACTTGTAGATTTGGGCCTCTTTGGGTGCAGTGCAACATAGCTCTTTTGATTCAGTTAAGAAAAAATGCTACCACCACCTCCTTCTACTCCCAGCGTTCGAGTATGTACGCAAACAGTCAATTCGAAAATACAATCAATCAATTCCACAATGGAAACTTTGATGAGGATTCAAAGTAAGTTGTGGCTAGCATTGGAAGAGACTGAATTTTTACAACTGATTATCCAATTGGTAATTAACTTTGTCCAAGAAGAAAAAATGTTAAAGATGATTGATATTAAAGAGAGTGCACAGATTTTATCACAAGATTTTTGTCTGGCTTGTCCGAGTTGGGTTGAAGACATCTTTCTGTTCCGGTTTTGTCACTTCATGACTCAACAGAACCGTAGTCAAAGTGATAAGTTTGATCAATTTTCTGGGAAAGAGACTGGGTCAAAAGGAGTTTTATAAGTTGAAAAATGTCGAGGGTGTTTGACATTGTTCCCTTGTGGCCAAAGTATTGGCCTACGTATCTTTGTAATCTACAGCTATTTAGACTTGTACCTCAAGTTCACTGGGATCAATGATTCCTTCAAGTTCTAGCAATGAGATAGTCTCCTTTGATCATCCTTTTGAACAAGTGAGTTAAAGATCCTGCTCGGATCAAGGAAAGGGATCCAGAATTCTAAGAATCACTCTCAAATGGGAAGGGTGGGCTGGGGGTACAAATTCGCCCTGTTTAACGCCAAAAGCACATCTTCCAACCAATGCTGAGGTACCGGTCAGACTCTGGACTAGCAGGAGCAGATGGGAGATATGTACGTGTACATAGTTTTTTGGACTTGAAACTGAGAATTGAATGTTGGGGAGGAAGATACATATGTCTCCTTGAAAATGTTGATACATGAGTTTGATCGGGGACTCAAGATGGTTATCCCAACCTGCTGCATCCCATCTCCGCCAACTGTTTTAATCGCCTCGCTCTAAGTTACATGACCCATTGGAGCTGTAAAGTTAAACTTAGAGCCGTAAAGAATATTGAGAGCTAAAAGCGCCGAAGCCAGAAATGGTATCGGGTGAGGATAAGATCGCTACAAGTTCTCCTTTGTGCTCATTTCCAACCCCTCTTGACTCTCTTGAACTCTGTTGACATATCTGATCTCGTACTGGAGACGCACTCTGTTTTGATCTGCCGGCAAGGACTACACGGACTCATGACATATGTAGAACAGAAACCTTCGTCAGAAGGGTCTATTGGTTCATTGAGGTAGATTGAGGTGATATTGCCTGATATTGCCGACGTTATGTACAATGGTTGTACTGGCTGTACAGACACCACCTATTCATGTGATCGCGGGTCTCAGAAGACACGACGTACATATGCTTCACATCAGGCTTACGAATATTACGGGCCAGATGCCACTCCTTCGAAGACAACGCGCCGGCGCGTAAAATGCCAAAGACACTCCCAGGAGGAAGACAAGGTAGAAACTTTAGAAATTGGTTACGCATCAAGAACACGGGTGACTGGATGATTGGGTGGCAGGTGCAGCTGGGTGCACGATTAAAGTCTGCGATTAAATGAAGAAAGCGCCGGAAATCACAACTGGAAAAGCTTTATGCAACATCGACACGCCAACCAGCCCTCATTGAGCCACAAGGTGAGATATTAAGAAGACGAAGGTGTTTTTTAGAATTTGGGTTGGGAGGCTGATTGCAGCAGACCCTGCTCATGAATGAACTCGGAGTCTCTTCCTCATGTCAATGTGGGTCGCGTTCACCTCCCTCACCAGAATAATCCATCAACTCAACTTCCCGCTCCTCTCCAGATTGCGTTCAGGCCGCAAACTTTAGGCCACTTTCTTCTTCAATTACTCTGCTTTCAATCCTTCAAAATCGACCAATTATATTTTGCAACTTTATCTGTGTGACATTCCAATCTTAATACGTTCCAGGGATATCAAACAAGCACTTCGTTATCAAATTTTTATATTCCACCGTGCTGTCAGCCTGTCTGGTGCTGCCGACCCTTCATTCAAATTCTTTCTATATCGTTGCGACATGAAAAACATTCTTTTCCGAAGCATCCTCTTTTGTGCAGGTCTGACGACCACACTCTGTCATCCTCGCGGGGCAAAATCACCAAGTCTTGCTCCACGAAACCAGCAGTACTGTCCAAACCCATCTGTAAGAGTTTCATGGTACGTCACATTCATCCGTTGTTAAACGCTAGATTGAAGACCGGGATCCCTTGTCTGGCAAATCATTTGCTATCTACTTATACCATTGCTTTATCCAAACCAGGTATACCTTCACTCCACAAGAAAAGACTGCTATGCAAGACGCGATCATGTGTTTGATGAATGCCCCCAGCAAGATGAAGTATCCTGGCGCTGTAACGCGGTACGATGATCTGGTTAGCCTACCATTCTGACCTATAAACTTGACTCCGAATGACTTATCTGCGTGCAAACAAATACTAGGTCGCTATTCATCAACTCCAAAGTGATTATCCCAACGGAAATGACAAATTGCATGTCACTGCCAGATTTCTCTATTGGCATCGCCTTTATCTCCTTCTCTTCGAACTCCTTCTGCGGGTTGAGTGCGGCTACACTGGGAAGATGGCATACTGGGATGAGAAAGTTGATGCTGGGAACTTTAGAAATTCTGTCGCGGTCAAAGATTTTGGTGGCCCGGGGAACGAGAATGGTTACGTGGTATGTTCATGATGCTTCTATGATCTATCAGTGCCTCAAACAAGTTCCAATTCAGCCCGGTTGACATATGTAATTGCACATCTTTTTTAGGTGGACGGGCGATTTGGTTACACCATCGTAAACATGGGTCCAAGATCGCAAAGCGTACGGCGTTATTTGACTCGCCAGATCAATGAAACTGCTTCAGCTTTTGCTTCGCAAGAGCACTACGATCTGTTGATGAGTCAGCAAGACTCGGCTGGATTTATGAAAATCATGCGTTTATTTTTACACATGACTGCTCATGGGGGTCTCAAAGGATGCGTAAGCCTGCGGTCCAAGTTTATATGTTGCAAATATAGCTGACGCGTCAAATCCTACAGATGGGCGACGTTCAGAGTTCTCCAGTAGATCCTATCTTTCACTTGCACCACATGTATGTCGAGTAAGTAGCGTCTTATGGAGGATCTGATTATCTTGCAAGTTTACTTATCAATTGATTTCGCGATACATAAGCTATCTATGGTTCAAATGGTACGTCTTTTTGGTCTCAGTAGTTATATCCTGTACTTTTTTCTCATGCACACTTTTCCAACGTCAGGCAAAATGTGGACCCTGCCCGACGAACCTTTGACCTACGCGAAGCTGGTTACGAATCGCAGCGACCACCATTCACTGTACGTTCTTCTACTATCGTATACAAAGCTTATGGAATTGACTCACGCGAAAAACTATGAACCTCTAGGTAGCGACCTGGCACACCTCCCTGACGTTTTTGGGACTCGCCGATGTATGTACTGTGAGGTCTAGCTAATGCCCTACGAACCTTGAAACTTATTTGAATCTTTTTCCATTTAGGACGTCCCTATGTACGCTGCTGCCGACACGCAGGTAAGTTGCACATCCCGAAATTATAAACAAAACATTTTGAATACCAAAATACATCAAACTGACAATGAAAATGGCATGGCCAACAGGGAGGGTTTCTATGTTATATATACGAGTAAACTTCGCATCAACATAACTTGAGCACCACAGCTACTTCATCAAAGTAAGATCGCGGACACTCGAGCTCTATAGGAGACCAAATTCTTGGATTTTCGAACTTGCTCTAAGTCTTTTTATTTCTGGGTTTCTTTTGGACATAATGAATGCGAACATTTTTTCTTTTTCTCAAGCCTACAAAGTCTTTTAATTTCCAACAAATCTTCCCTACCATATCAAGCTTTATTTCCATACCGAAAGCTAGGCGGTCAAATCAGAAGAGGCAGATTATGTGTAAAACAAAGCACTGACCATAGGCGCATCCCTATAATCTTTTTTCAACCCTTCCAATTTGCCTCTATCAGGCTTCACATCATACCCAATGTTCAGAGCACCACTTCTTGACAATCAATCATCTCTTTTGACTTATTTATCTCTCTTTTCCTCTTTAACCCACTTGTGTTACATATTCTGTTAGTTCAAAATAACCACTGTCATTTCCTTGCAACTTTGTCTTTGTGCTCATGGAAATTAATCTAGCGCAAGTCTTTAAAAACAGTACTCTGTCGGGTTGCATGTGATCTGATATCGACCACCACAGTCCACTTTGTTACTGTTCAAGCAACAAGAATTTTCATGATAGTTCACATAACTGCCCGGCCGCTCTTGTCAGAAAGGAAGGCTTAAGCACTCGAGCTTTCATACTGATGTGAGCACACGAAAAATTTGACAAAGGAAATCCCAACAGCTTGATCAATCTCGTCGCAACATCTCGCGCTCACGCGCTACCGTTTGCGCTACACCTTTGTATCTGTAACACGTGCCTTTATCTCAATGCTTTGCCACTTGAGAGGTCACAACAAAGGTTATCAGGTCTGATGATCGCAAGCAAGAGGTCATTCAGGTAATTGAACTAATTACAAAAAAAGCCCCGTGGAGCAGATGATTTTTGGAACAAAAACAAGAGACTTCATTTGCTAAAATGTCAGCTCTGTGTGCCCAATGTCTTTTGGTTATGCACGCATTTAAATTGACCATGACACACTGCTATGACACCTGGACAAATTGACTGTGAGAAGGTAATCAAAAAAAATCTGCACTAGTACTACTACTGGGAACTAGCTGAAAGAGCTGGCGAATAATGTATCAAACTTTTGATTTTTGGATTGGAACAACAAAGCATTGACGGAGCCACTAACGCGAATTGGCCTGAATTGACTCATGTCACTATTTGGTCTTGGGAAATGGGCCATCTTCAGGCTTGCAAAATTTTCTACATAGCACAGAGCTCTCAAAATGTGATTAACAGAAGATAGATTGCAATCATTGTACTGTGGTACAGGGAACAGTTCGAGGGCACGGATGCGCGAGGGCCTCAGGTAAGCTCAGGAGTTTCCTTTCATCCAACAAAGATATATATCTCATCCACGGCCATAATATACGACTTCTGGGTATGGGGATGTCGAGTGTCAGTGGCCTGAAGAAATCCGAGGAGTAAGAGTTTTTGTTAAGTTTCGTCGAGGGAGAGCAGGGGAGTCCCGAAACGTCTTTCTCACAATCCCAAAATGGCGTGTACGCTATGCTACGCTATGTAAATCATAAACGGCAGCGACTGTCAACCTCGACTTCGGTAGTTCAAAAACTTTGGTTGCTGTTGATCGATATCTGCTTGCTGTGTACTCCAATGTCGGCACAGAAACCAAAGGCCACAACAGTTGGCGTTCGAAAACTGGACTCTCCTCAGCCTTGCTCTGACCAGCCTCATGCCACCCATGATACGCGTAGAAGCATTCAAACGACTGTCTGATCCAACTTATATCAGATTGATCCGACTCGAGAAAGACTGGATTTTTGTCGAGACCACGCATTGAAACACGAGGGTGCAAGGATTTGTTTTGTGGGGTCGCAAAGGTTGACTTCATGAGGATCAAGGCCAAAAGATCTCATCAGCGTCCTGTCGATCTCGCCATCAAAGTTGTGTTCATTCTTTTTCTTTTGGTTCAAGCACCCACAGTTTGAAGTTTGGGTCCAAACATTTCATTCTTGAATATTTTCTGCAATCTTCATTTAGTCATCACCGCTTTTCAAGATCGAACCTTTTTTATATCTTCGTATCATACTGCAAGACTCCAGCAAAAATGAGGACTCGTCCTATCTCTATACATATCACCATGATGTCCTGGCAGTCCAGGATTCCAATTCTTCAACAACGTAGGCCTGTCGGTGGCCACCGTTTGGGAATTTTCTGGAAAACTGCTCTTTTTCTAGCCATTGTGACGGCCACTCTCTGTCAAACACCCACCAGTGATCCTTCACATGTGGAGCGTCGGAACGAGCAGTATTGCCCGAATCCTGCAGTGAGGGTTTCATGGTCAGTTAATTTGAGTAACATATTATTTTGACATTTTGGCTGATACGGCTGGTCTACCAGGTACTCACTCTCAAGTGCAGAGAAGACAGCTATGCAAGATGCAATCATGTGTTTACTCACACAGCCCAGTAAGATGAAGTATCCCGGAGCTATATCCCGTTATGATGACCTGGTCAGTTGCGCAGGGTTCTTTCCCATAAACTCTCAGCACTTCCGGTCGAGTTTGGCAGGAAACGGTTCCTGACTTGATTTGGCCACGCAGGTATATGTTCATCAGGCGCAAAGCGATTTTCCTGGTGGCAAGGACCTGTTGCATGTCACTGGTAGATTCCTTCATTGGCATCGCTTACAATTGGCTCTTTTTGAGCTACTTTTGCGGGTCGAGTGTGGTTATTCTGGTCCAATGGCATATTGGGATGAAAGAGTCGATGCGGGAAAATTTCGCGACGCTGGTATAATTAAAGACTTTGGTGGGACTGGGAATGAGAATGGTTATGTGGTGCGCATCTATATCATGTTCGGTCATGTTTACTCGTGACAAAACAGCCCCCAAAAAACTAAACAACGTAATACACGGCATCTCATTACTAGGTTGACGGTCGATTTGGATACACAATAGCCAACTTAGGCCCAAGCATGGACAACACAAGACGTTATCTCAGTAGAAAAATCAACGACACTGCTTCAGCTTTCGCTTCAGAAAGGCATTACAGAGTGCTGATGGGCCAAGACTCATTTATAGACTTCATGCAAAGTCTACGAAACTTTCAACATCTTAGCGGCCATGTAGGTGTGGGCAGAGATGTGAGTATCTTTCACTTTCATTTTATGGCAATCATTATGACACAGCTTTGCTTCTATAGATGGCGGGTGTCCAGACGGCTCCAGTCGATCCACTCTTCTGGTTTCATCACGGTTATGTGGAGTGAGTGCTACTTTGCTATGAGTGCGTAAGCATTGAAGTGAACTGGATAAATACTTACCAATTTGTTGAACCCCTCCCTCAAAGTTATTTATGGACTAGATGGTATGCCTGACTTAGCCTTTGGAACATATTCCAAGGTGATTCAAAGAAGTTTCCAGACTGTAACTGATATACTCTTCGAGTAATGATAGGCAGGGAAATGATCCGGCGCGTATCTTTGACCTCAATAATGCTGGTTACGAAACACAAGGGCCACCATTCAGAGTATGTGAGGAATTTCTGTTGAGCGTATACACTTCATACTGACTCTGTGATGAACTCACCCTTTTAGTCCGTGACCTGGCAGACTGCACTCCCATTTCTGGGACTTGCCGATGTATGTATAGTTTGAATTTCCAAAGAATCTGAGATACAATGCTTACTCTCTTAACCGGTGACTTTTTTATGACATGTCACTAGGATGTACCCTTGTACGCCGGGTCAGATACACAGGTATTTCACACTTGGAATTCAACTCTGATATGTAAAGCTCAGACTGACATGGTTGCCTTTGTGACGGTAAGGGTGGATTTCTGTGTTACACATACAAGTGAACCTTGTCTTTCCGTCCGCCAACCTCCAACTAGTTTGATGCCTGTAATTCCCCAGAAGAAATCAACTTTGGCATTGGCTCTCATCACACTCGCCGGCAAATTTTCCACTGAGGCCACCTACACCTTTTTGTTCTGATCTCTTCCTTTACGGATTTCACAGCTCATGTCTTTAAAACCAGTTCAACTTCTACAATACTTCCCAATCAACAACAAGAACATATGCTTATTGAGAAAGTATGATTTTCAGATGGCCAACATAGAAGGATTGCACTGATAAAAGAATGCCATATCATCCAGACTCCTGTGACTGTTCTGCATGGTAGGGTTAAAGATTTTAGTAGTTATTGATTTTTTTCTTTGAGTATAAGTTTTGTACAAAAATGAGCAAATATGTACAGACATTCATTTCACTTTAACATATGTAGAGATTTCACCACACAAGATATGAATGATTTCATAAAACCAGCCAAAATTTGGGACTACCTATTGATGGCAGATCCTCAGTCTTGGAACTTCAATATAACATTCTTCACCCAATGGATAACAACCAAGATGTTTTGAAGAGTTCAGCAACAAGTTCAAACTTTACAACAGCCTTCAGCATGGTCATCATCTTCAGATTCTGAAAATGTAAAAGTGATAGTAGTTGAAAAGAATCACACAAGGCTCTTTATAGCTCCAAATTCAAGACCAATTTCTACCAAAATACCTAGATTTTTTGATCCAGATGAGAAGATAACATAGGAAGTGGTGTTTTTTTCCATGAGAAAGGACTCCAATTCACCACCTCCTGGCAAGACACTGGTGTGAGGTTAAATGATGGAATCTGGTCAAATATGAAGCTCTGGGCCTTGAGGCAATAGTTGGGTCACTCTGGTCTTGAAAAGCATCAGTACAGAAAGTATGATATCCCAATTCCAGCAAGAAGGCTCACATGTGCCAGATATAGATTGAGGTAAAGTCATTTCAAGGCAGTATACACCCAACTTCTTGGATCATGAAAAGTTATTTTATGCATGTGATAGTGGGGTTCAAGTCCAAAAAATGCCTCAAAGACACCTATCCCTATATCAAAATGCTGATTGAAATTTTGAAATTTTGAAAGCAGTGACAGAAATCCCAACCTGAGAAGCACATCACTAGCCATTTACTCTTCAACAAAGACAAATTTTGAAGGGCTGGAAGGCCAAAGTGCATAAACGTTTAAGCACTTTTTGGCCAACTTGAACCCCGCTGATAAGAATTTATCTATAAAACTAAGCTCAAAAACCTAGTAAGCTTGAACAAGGGGATAATTCAAATATTATTGGATGAGATGTTTGAATCTGGAAATAGGCAGATAATATGGCAGACTACCTTGACTTGAAGATTTTTCACTTTGTTAAAATCTTGCTTATTTGTAGCTACTTCATGCAATGCCCAAACCAATCCAACACAATATGATATATCAGCTGTTTTTCATGTTGTATTCAATTGGGAAACCAATGTATCAAACTGATACCCAATACAATACAGAGACAAAAAATCTCTGGTGCCTTATATTGCATCACTCAAGCAGTACAAGCCAATATGGTCTGGTAAGGCGGCAAAATCCTTTGATTGAGCATCTTGGCTGGCAGCTTGTATCATGTTGCCAATATCCAACATTGAAAACCCCAGTTCTCATATTGGGCTGGCTGAACCAATCTGTGAACATCTGACTTTTGGTGTTGGGTTGGCAATACAATACCAAGTTCATACACACATAGCTGTGACAGCTGTGAGCTGTGACATATTGCGTGTAGCAGCAAAATACTTACTATAGGTATATCCATCCGCACCCGTATGCTTATAAACAAAAGATGATTTTCTCAAGTCAGTGTCCCGTTGCCCAGCAGGCCGGCTGACTGGTCAATATCATCATCATCCATCAAACTTCACCATGAGGAAACTTAAGAACCCTTACAATTGTAAAAAAACCCTCCCGCGCATGGTGAGTAATTAGAAGTCTCAAATCCAATCGATCCACTTACTAATATCCAAAAACAGTCATGGCATCCGCAGAATCTTTTCAACTTATTTCAACGAACGTATGGGCCAGAAAGTAAAGAAACTAATTTTACAAGAACATCAAAGACCGTTTATTGGCAAAGATGTAAATCAAGGGCTGTGACTAGAGCTTATCATGGAGATTGGATTCAGGAGAAAAAATTCAAACGACATTATCTTCCAGCTTCATTACCAAAACTTTCAATTCAACCTTATCAAAAAATTAATAAATCTAATCCTCAAGAATCAAAGGTTCCTCTTGCAGCGATGATGTACACCGAAGTAGAGAGGAGATTAGACGTTGTGCTTTTTAGATCTTGTTTCGCAGATAGCGTATACGAAGCCAGAAGGATGGTTCTACATAATGCGGTTAAGCTAAACGGCGTCAGGGTATGTCACTCGTTCTCTCAAGTATGGACACTATGCTCGATCACTCACATGGTACAATTTAGTGTATTGCTCCTTGGACTCGACTTCATCCTGGGGATATGATCACAGTTCATCCAGCCTCTATTCCATTGCTTAATCCAGGAAAAACATGGCCCGCTGGCCTCGGGGAAGCGTATGTGGTCGACATCGACACACCTAAGAAGCCAAGCGAGCGTGTGTCTGTGCCGCCTACCGACACAGAGAGTCTTCCAAATGAACCGACTGAAACGGAGAGAGTTGAAGCAACAGACACCAGTAGTGTTTCGCCAGAAGCTAAAGACGAGTCTGGTATCGTACCGGAAGCTGATGCAGACGTACCGCCACCTGTATCGGATCCAGTCGATCAATCCGACTCGAAAGAATTAGCTTCACCAATCACGACGTCTCTACATCTTCCATTTCGCCTACCCGCCTACGCCTCTCCTTTCCTTTTCATTCCTCCTTACCTTGAAGTATCATTTCGAGTATGTTCGATGGTTTATCTACGACATCCAACTTGTGGACCAGGTTTCAGTGAAATACCTACTCCTTGGAATGCGGATGGTGAAGTGATGCGATTAGCATGGGAATGGTATACTCGTCAAGGTTTAGGTAGAAGAGTTAGAAAAGAAAGAAAAGAATGGGATGAAATACGTGAAACCAAAAGGGATCCATTTGCAGAAGGACATCTTAGAAAGAATGCTATCGGGGGCCGAGTTGCTGTACATGGGAGATACCAAGGTGGAAGGATCGGTCGTGCACGGATGGGTAGCGGCGAGCCTAGGATGCAGTCGTCGATTTGAATTTTGTATACCTTTGATATCTGTTAATCTTCCCTACCTCCTATACCCAATTAACGCTCTCAAAAATCAATATGAAAGTCTCAAAATGCTCCATCTCAATGTCCGATGAATGTAGTCGACATTGCAGTCCCGACACTGAGGAGAAGTATACTTTTGACCTTGATAGATAGGTCGAAAGCCTCAAATGCACCGTTACCATGTCATCTGCACGAGGATACATGCAATCATCAATTTCGCAATCCTAGTCTCTTTGCGCCTCTACTGCTCACACCTCAGGTGTTGACGTAGTCCTCTAGCGAAATTGACTGCCATTGCAGCCAAGGTACATAGTCTCATTGAAATGAAGTGCATCTGGCACGGGCATCGTTACATAGCACAAACTCTTGAATCATAGCGTCAGCACTAAATGGCTCACCATGCATCAAGATTGAAGTGGAGGTAGATTACCGGGTCGTAGTTGGATCTGGGATCCCACTGGGTTACAGAGTTGATTGTTTTGAGAACGAGTCCGAGTGTTTCGCCAAAGTTCACAAGGATGACGCGAGACTTCAAGGAGTCGAGGAGGTCGAAACCAATCCGCTTGTCCTTCCTCAAAAAATCAACACATGGCTTGCTTTTGAGCCAACGGCCGCCTACCCTAGGTGTGACTCAAGTGGACTCGGACGTGAAGAGTGGATGAGGTGAGTAATAAGCAAGTGGTGCTCGCTTTGAATGTCGCAAAGATTGGTCCCCGACTGCATATCGCACAGAAGCGACCAGTTGCTTGATTTTTAGTTGGACGGTGCGCGCGCCGCGTTAGGCCGAGTTACAGTCATTTTGGCAATGCTGACAAGATCGAGAGGCACGAGAGTGAGGATATATTCTCTGCTGACCCGAAGGAAATACAAAGCCTCGAATGGCCGATGGATAGTGGTCAAATCGTCGCAAAGTTTCTGGATCAAGGAATGTCTGTTGACCAAGCTAGTGACGCGCTCAACCTCCTCGTGCCTCATTGTTGTAATTCTCAACACAACTGGAAATGCAACAATCATATAAAAGGCCACCATTTGTTTCGAATTATCTTCATCCACTTTCCTCCTCTGCTTCTAACTCCAAACTTCCAAACATATCATCCACTGCTTCCCTTCCTAACACTATCCACCTATCATCCCACAATTTCCCTTCGTCCTACCCCTCATCCTTCATCCTTCATCCTTAACTCTTGATCTTCACATCCTTGATCCTTTTCGATCATACATTACCTCGCCTTTCTGCACCTCCTCCTAACCAGATCTTACCCAAAGATGTCTTACCTTTCTCTTGGTCTCAACTTGCCCGCGATGTTTGTACTAGACCCTTGGTGTATGTTGCAGAAAGCTGCTGCTAGTCAATCACAACAGGTAAATCATTCTTTTCACTTCGGCGTTCAAGACAAGATCTACTTGCTGATTACTTGCGTTCTCATAGGTTGCTTATGCAGCTTTGCTTGTCAGACTTCATTCTAGCCAAAGACTTATCACCGAGGCCCCTTTCTCAACTGAAGAGGTATGTCTATACATGTTTCAATCGTCTCCTCCAATGCTGGTCTCTGATCTCACATATGGTTCATTTTTTTAGATCATCGCATCTCCCGTTCAGAGCGAGCTTGAAATTTGTGTGGCCGCCGTGTCTACTTCCATCGCTGACCAGTCCATGGCGACACGCTCTATCGAATCCGCATGGTCATTCGACGTATTGGCCACTAATTTGCTCGTTCTCAGTCAACCAACGACTTCTGCTGTCCCAACCGATGACTCCGAGTTATCTTTTTGCAACCAGGTCGAAGAACAAGCTCAGTTCAACGATTTTTTCCAACAAGAGAGTGATCATTCTTGTCTTGACCTGAGTTTCGACTTGGAAGCCTCATTTGGTGATCATCACACGTCGGTCCACTTCAACAATGAATTTGATTTCGAGACCTCATTTCAAGGAGAAAACGACTCTTCTATGGGGGAGTGCTATTTTTCTGAAGATTCCCTTGAGGTTCAGTCGGTCCAACCGCTCTCAAACCCCCTTCAAACATCATCGTCTGGCGTCGCAACTCTTTCTCAAGAAGAAACCCCTCATTTTGAGATCTACAATCAAATGCTCGAAGACTTACTCGGATTTTCTGACCTCATGTCTTTCGAGCCGGTTTCCACTCCGTTGCCTTCCAATTTATCCGAACCGAACTCGCTCGCATCCACGACAGCTCATGTTGAGGCGGACATGCAAGAATCGTCCGAATCCCTCATAGAAAACTCTATCATGAGCTTCTATTCGAGGTCTGAGCTAGAAAACTTTTTCGCGGATATGAGTCATCAGTTTGAGCTTAATCTCGGTCTTGATGACGAGGCTTCTTTCGGCGACCAACACCTCTCGGTCCATGTGAATGAGTTCTATCTCGAATCTTCATGTGAAATAGAAAATCACGTTCACCTTGATAGGAGTCATTGCCTTGAAGAGTCTTTTGACGTCCAAGAAGCAAATAACTCAGCTGAGGACGAAACTCGTTTGGAGATCTACAATCAAATGCTACAAGATCTGCTTGGTTCTGCCCTCAATTCAATGGAATCGACCGCAACACCTTCATCCTCTTCAACAGTCAAGACTTTTATAAGACCTCGACGTCACAAATCATCTAACCTCACTATTTCAGAACTGTCGAAGAGCTGTTCAACCTCATCATTAGAATCTACATCCGATCTATGTGATTCATGTGATAGTTCTCCGGAAGCTGAGGCAATCGATTTCTCTTCATCACCTAAAGAAATTCTAGGGAACTCTTTTCACTCAATACATATCACTGATGAACTTGAAGATCACTTTATAGAAGATGGAAAGCATTCTTTTTGTCTTGGTGATCAGAGTCTTGATATTGATATGCTCTTGAAGGATTTGGATTTGAACCATTCATTTTGTTTTGATATCAGTCACTCTTCTTTTGATCTTGACACTTATCTTGAACTTGAACCATAATTTGATCTCAACTGAAATTCAAAAAATTCAAAAAGTTTTAAAAAATTGTGTCTATCTCTCCCTTTTCTCAATTTTTTTATAGAGTTCTGCAACAATCACTCAATTTTCCTCTCTATTCTATTCTCACTTTTCTCTTTGTTTTCCTTATCCTGTTCTTTGTCCCTGTTCTTTAAAAAAATTGTATTATAATGAAAAGAAAATTCATAAGTTGAACAAAAATAAACCTGTCTTAAGAAACAAGTGTGAGAGAAAGTCATCAGCAAATGCCCATAGCCAGATCCATCAAAATCTTCCAAGATTGTACCAAAATCCAAAGACTCAAACTTTTCTCTCGAGGATCCTTGCAGTTGATGCCTTACCTTGAGTCTCAAGAGAAACTACAGGCCAATTGAGTACCTTGTTTTTTTTTGCTGCACTGCACTGCCAGGCGCTTGCTGCGCAGTGTAGCTGTAACCTGTTGTCATAATACAATCTGCCTTTCAGGTTGTGTAGCTTGGAAAGCGCTAATAAACAACAAGCTACAGTAGCTGGGTTTGGCGTTGCTACATTACGATACACATCACGATTCAGGGCGGAAACGTTCGTATCAAATGTTCTTTTACAGCTCTGTGTGACGTAACTGAGACTCGTGTTCTGTGATTATTCGGAGGAATGGAGACCCAATGTTCATCGAACTCATTCAAGCAAAACTTTTGTCTTGATCAATTACCACAAGGAATCACCTGATACTATGTTATAGCTTCCTGTGCTTTTGCTCTATTCAGAGAATTCTATCTCCTTTACCTGGTTGACTTGAAATACAATCCTTTACCTCTGTTTATCTGGCTTGATCGTCCAAGTCTCGAATCCAATTTTAACAAATTTCAACCAGAAGAACGTTGAAAACTCGAAGCCAACTGATCACGAATCGCACATACACCACGAACCCCGCTTTTGTTGAAAATTGGTTGAGGGGGGGTTTCAAATAGATACGGGCAGAGCCCCACTAATTATCTGTGGGGCACCAAGCAAATAGCGGGGTTTTTACCTGGTCAAGACGAAACCCTACATACGGTTATTTAACCTCTACAGAATAGGTTGACCAACCGCTTTTCAATAGCAGGTTGCATAACCACATTATCTAACCACCAAGATTGCGTGGTTGCTAAATCCGCAGTGGAAAAGCCGTGCTAATACGGTTTTTCCGGACGACAATTCGTTTGTATTGTCCGAATGTCCATGTAACCATTATCCAATTTAAGGATGTTTTATTTGATCGATGGGTCCCAATAGATTATTACCTTGCATATTATTGTTCGCCTCAATTTTCCTTGACTCTATCTTTGCAAATTTCCCTTCATCAAAGGACGAGGCTTCATTGACATTTTGCACGTCTCAATAATGTCAATGTCCAATAATGAAGAAGACAAATGTGAGGCTTCAGTTCCACATCTTAATACATATTTGACTGGTCCACTTCATCACTGAATGAACGCGATTCATTAAAGGCATTGTCAAAGTAGGTCGAGATACAGATTCTGTTACGTTTGTATGTCTTGCGTGCCCAGGTAGCCGCTCAATGCAGAGCAGCCATATTTGCAGGCATAAATCGGGTCCTGCCCATGTGAAGAACGTTAAGGCATGGGTGGTTAAGCAACAGGCAACCCAAACGTCTAATTCGTTCATCAACCATGAGCAATCTCATATAAACTCAGACCCGCCGAGTCCTGATGGCCATGTTCCTGCGGAAATTGATGACATCGACATCCAGATCGAAGATCCGCAACCTAATTTTGTTCGAGATAGGCTTGTAGAACTGTGGACACGAAACCATTCAATGTTTTTTGATTCTCCAGAGGTCAGCGTTCATAGTGGTGAAGACGATCCAATTGGCAACATCGACATCGATTCCCTCTCCGATGTTGACGAGGATGAAAGCGACGGCCCTGAGGACGAGCACGAAGATAGCAATGAGCCAGATGATTCATGGTACCCTTTTACATGTCTTGAGGCAAGTTTCGTGTGATAAACTATCATCACATATCACACATTCTGACCCCGTGATAAATGCAGCAAATGGTTGGATTCATGGTATTAGGTTCCTCAAGGGCAATTTTGTCCCTCTTACAATACGAAAGAATGCGGTCATTCTTTGGACTCCTTGGAGTGAAGCTGCCCGCGTACAAGACCGTTCAGAAAGTGCGTCGACGACTCAAGACCAGGTTCCAATTCAATGTGTCAGAAACGCTCAGTCCGTTAGATAAACCATGCTTTGGTTTGCAAATAAAACAAATAATTAAACAGGCAAGTATATGATTTGCATTAAGAGCGCGCGCAATAATCTAACCATATCTTGGCACAGGAACTCGCAAATCCTTATGTATCAGAGTTTCTGGAGTTTATGCCCTCTTTACCCAAAGACGACGCCAAAGTGTTCTGCCTGGCCCAATCTCAGAAGTGGCGAGAGGGTCTTGACGCCGATGTCAGGGTGCAAATGGTTGAGCACGCAAACACTCATTTCTATCTTCACGAACCAGCTCAATTAGATACACAAAGAATCGTAATTCCTTTCTACATGTATAAATCTGGAGAAGATGTCTTTGCAAAATGTGTATTTGCACATCTGAAATGGGAAAACCCTCATATCCAATTGGAATTCCAACATGTTTCAGATTTCAACTCTGAGTTGTTTACCACAATCAACGTTAAATCTTTCTCTAAAGTATTTGACGAAATTGTTATGCGTGACGGCCGCCTCATGAAAGAGTTATGTAGTGGCGTTATGTACAGTTAGTTTGGTTTTATGTATATATATACCTTGACATTTTGACAACGTTGATATCGCTAACTGTTTTTGTGTTGGTCGTTTCAGGAAAAGACGGAGGCACTTGCACTGAGGTACCAACAACTAATTTGTGGCGAGAAAAAGCGAATGGTCGAATTATAAGGCATGTACCCTTGGTTTTGTACTGTGACGATCTGTCAGGCAACAAATCAAAGCGCTGGAATAAGCATATAGCTTTTTACTTCACGTTGGCTGGACTGCCTCCGAAAGTTTCCAATCAGGAATACAATTGCCACTTTGTGACAACCTCAAACACGGCTGGAGCGTTGGAGTTGGCAGATCCAGTGGTAGACGAATTGAAGTGAGTTGGCCAAAGTTTATAAGTTCACACCACTTAAATTGAACATCTATATGTTGTTACAAACCAGCAACCTCATTACCAACGGCTTTGTAGCCTACGATCACAAGGCTCAGGCGGAAGTACTCGTGATGACATCTGTGCTATGTCATCTAGGTGACTCACCCATGCATGCCGAGGTGACCAATACGATGAACCCAACTACCTCTCTCTCACCTTGTCGAGTATGTCACCTGAAAGCGAAGTCTCTGATGGACAAACGGTCCTCAAGGTACATATGCAATTTCATTGGGGTTGACGAACTAGGCAGGCAAGAGTCACTTCACAAATATTAATTTGAACAGCTCGCCAGTATCTATCTCTGACCTTGTCTTTTTGATCTTGTAGGCAAGACTACGAACGCGCCAGTGGTCGGAAACTATCAACAGTACTAAGGCCCTTTGGGAATTATCTCAACGCCCAGGAACCATTGGCCAATTCGATACAAAGTCGACTGAACTCGGCGTGAAGGATGCACTTAACCTGGTTTTTGTTAAAATGGTGCAAGATCTCCAAAGGGATTCTTCAGTAACAAACGCCCAGACAGCTGCATTTTGCCAAGAGCTTGACGAAATTTTTGGGGAGCGTCTGTTCAACCCGTTCCTACGCTTAAAAGGTGATATTATTGTTTTAAAGTTTTATAATTGGTTGATTCTATTGACATTGTGTTCTGAAAGGTTTCAATGGCCATCGCGATACCCCAGTTGAGGTATTACATGTCATCTTATTAGGTGTAACCAAGTACTTATTGCGGCACCACATGAGCTCATGTTCCGCAAAAGACAAAAACAACATCTGGGGTCGTTGGAGGTCTTTCAACGCTTCAGGTTTGAACATTCCAGCCATTCAGCCTAAAGCAATGATACAACATTTCCTCAGTTTGAACGGAAAGGAATTTCGAGTTGTTCTTCAAGCGGCCCCTTTTGTTTTTTTCCACAGTGCGATGACAAACGAAGAACGCAAGACCTGGACTGCCCTATCCCACCTCGCTCCCTACATATTTCAAACTGAAATTTCCGACATTAAGACCTATCGAAAGGAGCTGGAGACCCTTGTTAGAATATTCTTGAAGTCAATAGTACAACTCACGGCTCAGTGGTGCAACAAGCCTAAGTTCCATATGATAATACATTTATGTGAATCTATCGAAAGATTTGGGCCTCCATGTCTTTTTGCTACCAAAAATTTTGAGAGTTATAATGGTAATACTCGAGAATATTCTTTACACTCTAATCATCTGAGTCCCGGTTCAGATATCGCCAATTCTATGAACAGTTATCGGCTCATGAGGGCTTTATCCGCGGGATCTAAACTTTATGATCACCTATCTAAAACCTATGTACAAGCGGGTTTGAAGGTGCAGCAGATTTTTCAGAATAATTTATTGTTTCAAAAGGCCTTAGGATTCAATTCTGCATGGAATAAGGAGAATTCCATCGGCATCGGTAGTACGTCTTTATTATCAATAATATTAATTGATGTCTTATACTTTGTTTGGACACTGACCGATTACGTTTGTTTCAAGGAAGGAAGAATCCTCAACTGGTGAACACGAGTGATATGATCCCCGATGACATTCGTGACGCTTTCACATCGAAAGAGTGGCATGTGCTCGATTCACTTACCTTTCAAAACAAGCAAAAAATCACTTCGGATGTTTTTATGTCTGTCAACAATATAAACACTAGCACTGGTAAAATTATTGTGCGTGTCGTTAATGTTTGGGGTGTGGGGGGGTGTTCCTTACAACAAATCAAGCTTGAGGCGCACGTTTGCCGATTAGGTCCTGTGAATAATTTCTATGGAATGCGTGAGATCAAGGAGACAAGTTCAAAAGTA